TCGTTTTGCGGCGGTATGTATCTATACCTAACCCAGGAGAAAATTCGACAAAGAAAAACGAAGGAGTCCGAGAGAGAGAGAAGAAGCGAAAGGAATGACGAATGGAGAGCGAGAGATCGGGCTCGCGAGATAAAGAAGGTCGACAATAATGCCGTCGGTGCACCCTCGATCCCGTGGTACCAGGCGCAGCAGGCAGCCATTATTATTGTTTTACCTCTGCATCTCGGACAGAGAGAGGCGAATGTGCCGCGGAAGGCTGAATACGCGCGCGCCTTCGATGAGCAGACAGAATCCGGAAGAAAAAAAAAGGATTCGCAAGGGAGACTCGTGATGAACGAATACGACAGAGACGCCAAAGATAAAAGCGCGTTAATCCATCTTTCGTAACTTAGAGAGATTGAATATGCGCAAGATACCATTAAATTCAGAACCAATAACCATTTTCGCACTTAAATTTTACCTGTGACTTTTTTCTTTAATTTTATCGTGTGACTTTGGGACTGGAACTAAAACGGAATTAGCGCGGCTAGAAGTATTCAAGATGAAGACTCGAGGGCTAGAAAAGTGACGGAAAATTATCGACCATGGGAAAATCGACGATTGAAATCTTTTTACGTACAAGTAAACTATTCTTTCGTTTTACGTAAAATTCATTTGTATATTATTGTATATAAAAGAGTTTCACGTATAAGTATTCATACGAGGGTAGTTCGAAAAGTTCTCGGCCTGACATAGAAAACATATGATTTGTGGCAAAATTTTTTTTTTATTTTTCATAATCCTCTTGTAAATCAATACATTTAGACCCATATTCCAACATCTTTAGATCTTCAGTATCTTTTTCCAGCGAGTCATTTCTTCAGATTCGGAAACAGGAAAAAATCACTGAGGGGGGTTAAATCTGGTGAATACGGTGCGTGTGGCAGCAATTCGAAGCGCAACTCAAGTTAAAGTTTTGCGACTGCAATTACAGAAGTGTGAGAAACAAGTTTTCGAGAAATATCCAAAAACTTGTTTGCTTTACTCGATGCGACAGACAAACTACTAACCGCATCTGAAATTTTTTCAGAAGCCCTCTGAAGAATCAAACTTAAGAAAAATCATAGATACTCTCATCATTTGATACTCTCTCGGTGCCATCTCTATGTCAAGCCGAGAACTTTTCGAACTACCCTCGTAATTGTGCACGAAGATAAGGGAATTTCACATTATTGGCGAAAATAATTCCGGCTATCATATTGTCCTCTCACGTCGACATCGTCAATAATATGTTCACGTAGTACACGGTATGCGTATCAGCGATATTGAAATCGTAGAAAGGTATTCGAGATCCCGTGTTTCCCCCGCAGTGACGCCCATGCAGGGTTTGGAGGTGAAAAAACAATGCTGCAACGACCCCTTTCGCCTCGATCACGATGGAGACCCTTTCCGCGCGCTCTTATCTCTCTCCTCCCTTTATCTCGCCAGTCTTCTGTCTTTTCTCTTTCTTTTCTTTATCTTCCTTTCCCTTTCACTTGCCTGTTCCCTTCTCGCTATCCTCTGGTGAAAATTCTTCTACATGCCTCTACGTCGTGTCGTTTGGTCTCGCGCAACGCGCGATACAATGCCACCCCGGGATGCATTGTGAATCAGACTCACCAGACAACTCGACAACGTCGACAACATGACGACAGCTGTGCGCGATGATATCTAAGCTAAACTGATTATATTTCATTCTTATTTATATAGTAAAATATTTTTTGGACGACGTCTCGCATTAACAGCGTATCGATCTCACACGTTCAATTATTCAATATTATTGGAAATAATATTCAATGAAAATGGGAAAGATAAGATGACTCATTATGGGGAAATAAAAATCCATGTATATAGATTGTAAATGCTCCTTGCAAAAAAAAAAACCATAATTTTTAGAAATTTAAGTGAAAATTATGAAATCTCTGATTACTTCGCCAGCTATTCTAATTAAATTTGATTCTTAGAAATAATTTTTGAGTAAAAACATTTTTAAAGATTTTTTTCAAAATTTCTAAATAAATAAAGCAAAACAAAATATGTCGTAACGATGTATCGTATTTTTTTTTTGTTAGTTTATTATTCCGTATAATTACTGCGCAATTAAATGATGTTAAAAGCAGTTTGCAAGAGCGACAGAATTACCTCACTTTCAAGGCAACTACAGCTTTTTTCTCGAGCTATTATAATTGTTTCAAGGGAAATTTGTTCTGTTGATCTATTTTCCATATCTCGTCAAGAAGGAAATGAAAGTAGCAACGACATTAAAAAGTATGTCTTCGTCCTTGTTGGGTTAGATCTTTTAACATGAATCTCTTTATAGAAAGTGCGAAGAAAGTGCGTTCTTTTCTCTTCGACGTTATAAAAGTATCGACATTATCGGGAGAACCGCTGAAGACTTAAATAACTCTCTTTGAAGAGCGTATGTATGTAGGAGAGTGCTTAGAACGATGCGACAACGAAGGGTTAACTTTAATATTGCGCTGTAGCTAATTTATTAAAATGATTTCTGTCGTTAAAAACGGAGATCGTATCAATGATTTTCATCCTCGACGTTATCGACATAAAAAAATCGTCTCTCATAAATACCATCCTTTCTATGCATTTCCCTCGTTGCATTTATTAATACGCATTTAAAAAATCTATTTATTATTTTGATTCATCATATATCGCAGTCACTGTACAAAAATCGATCTACAGATAATGTACGTAAATGTATACACAATGAATATGTATATACTATGTATAATATAGATACATAGTTTAAGGAAGAAATAATAATCGTGTGAAAAGTAAAAATTTCGAAAGCAGTATTCATAGTTTGTTCTTATATTTAAGACGTTCTTAGATATAATTTAGATGTCATAAGTTAATCACAGAGTCATATTGCAGACATCTTAAGACATTATTTCAGATGATCTTGAAATAAAAACGTATTATACCAGCTTAAGTCTCTAATGTAGATTTCTAGAATTTAAGATGTAGAGTATGAAACAAGCCAGATTGAAAAATCTCACCCCCTCGCCGGGACAAGCGGCGCCTGCAGCTCGCGCGATGATTGCGCTGTAATCTGCTTTCGCTTTGCTTTTTCGAGGAACGGGGGGGTAGCTGCCGCGTGATTGGCCGGGGGCGTTGTTGAGTCTTCCATTTCGACCGATACATCGACAACAGTCGAGATACACTTAGGGAGGATACACGCGGGAGATAGACTCCAAGGAGAGAATAAGAGACAGAGAGGAAGAGACGTCGGTGGGAAGACGAAAAGAGATGACGGCAAGAGGACGAAGGGGGAAAAGGACGGAGGGGATGAAACAACCCTCCTGACACGGGTTATCCTATAAACGGTACTACCCCCGCAGCAACGCATCGATAATCCGGCCCCCGGGGCCCGCATGCGGTTGAACGCTCGCAACAGTTACCATATTTGATTGCGTACCCTCCTACCCTTCTCTATAAGGTCGGAATACGAAATAATATGCTGTACCGCGAAGTAATACGAAATAATATTCTGTATTGTAAAGATCTTGCGCTCGCGATATAACTCGTTATTTTTCTACGGGATTAACATTATCAGTATATAATCGTTGATAGATCTTAAACGGTTGTTGAAAAGTTGTTTCTACGTTATGTTAGTTTTTGAATTATATAATATATCAGTTGTAAATAATCAGTTATATAGATTATATATGTTATCAGTATATAGATTATATATATATAGATTATATATAGCGTATAAGTAATTAACGATAAAGTTTATCGTTGATTTATATGATCTGAGTTAGCTTAGATATGATGTGACTTATTAAGTATGTATGACCTTCTATAAATTTGGTAATCATTTTACATAAAATTATTTTTGTTATAAAGCCAAAATTAATGTGCAAATTAAAATGTAAATTTATATTTGATATTTGATAAATACATATTTTTTATTATTATTGCTAAAATAATTTAAACTTGTTTCAATAAACTTTACCAGAAAAATAACATACGTTATAATTATATAATTATATTTTATAAAAAATACTTAGACGATCCGGAGATTTTTTTCCCAATTCCATGTTGTTTGATAGAATAATTGTAAGATAATTTGCATTTCGTCAAATCATATATACAAGTAAGCAGAATCGCAAGTCTTTCCTCATGATCGGCAAGATCGACGGGGCAAGCGTCGTGATAAATAAAAAAAAAAAAAAATCAAGGGAGCTGTTCTTCGCTGCTCCTGACGCACCCTGCGTCACGGCGAGCGATGATGATGGCGGGAAAATGCGGGGGAAAGAAATCGCACGCGTTTGATGTGCCGCCAAAGAGAATGAGCGGGGAGGGAAGGGGGGAGAGAAGAGGGATAGGAGCGAGGGGGAGGAATATGCCGTCGGTGGCGAAGTAGTTTCGCGTGGGTTGGTCGGTCGACTGCAACCACGTTTCTGCGCAATCCCCTGCATCCCCCGCCAACCCCGAACCGTCTCTTTCTTTCTCGTTCGCTCCGATTTGCTTCGCGTTTCTCTGTTCCTCCACGCTTCGAAGGCCGCGCTTAAACGTTACCGGAAAATTATTACCGGAAAAGCGTTGCACACACGCGTGCGGCAAACCGCGGGACCGACCGACGGAATTACATTGATATTAGTATCGTTTGGCCCGACAGATTAATTAATTAAAACGAACCTCTCCCGCTTGCCGCCTGTGGCCACTCATCCCGTACGCACGTATTTGTGTTTCAGCGCTTCAACACAGAAAGCATACCGAAATATATTGTGCGCCAACAATTGTCGAAGGCTTTCGTCGTATACGCGAGCATAGCCTTTTGCTTGTCTAAATGTAGTATGGACGAAAAATACAAGATGTCTTTAATAAATTGTACAATACAATTGAACATTTCGACGAAGAATCTCATTTCTTCATAGTTGTCGCGTTATAGAAAAATCGAGTAAACTAGATCTAGCATTGTACACTAGAAAGGTGTCATAATTATTTAAATATAGACTTACCTTTCTTCGCGTGCAATATATCCGCTGGATCCGGTGGCAGAGATGAACAATGGCTCGGACTCAAACTAGATTGTATCGACGAAAACGGACTTCCCGCGCTCGACGGATACCTAAGATAACGACTGCTCTCAGCAAGAGAGTACATATGTTACGCATGCTATAAATAAGATTCTATCAAGAAAATTATTTTTAAGAAAGAAAAGAACTCATGTAATCTCTATAACAGAAATTTATTAAAAAAATCTTTCTCCAAGAATTCGAAAGATTTCCACGAAGTTATCCCGGAACTCCATCCCTATAATTCGTTATGCAATCAACTATTTTTCCTTAAATTTTAAAGATGAAAAATTGGAAATAAGTTAAAAAGAATCGAAAAAAAGTTAATCCTTGTCTTCGATTAAAAAACCGTATTTTGCATAATAATACCATTCGAACGAGCACATAATTTGTTTGCTAATGAGCTAATAAGTTTTACCAGGGATTGGGTCGCGGCCAGCCAGTAGTCTGTCCGTTTAGTAGCCTGAGTTTATCGTAAACGCTCTCCGCCGGACTGCCGGCACCGACGCCAACCCCCACAGCGCCCACCCCTTGTTGCTGCTGTTGTTGCTGCTGCCTCTGCTCCTTCTGCGCGGCCAGATTCCTCAGTACCCTGTTGATCGAGGACACCTGCAATCCGGACACACATTCATCAATATATAAAACAACTAATTATGTATTGGCATAGTCCGATGAATTCTGCTTAACTTTGGACCCTTTGATATACGATATATCTTGCATAATTTCATACATTGCATGGCAAAGTTATGTACGAGCAATACTTTTTATTGCATCGAGGAATACAGGGAAATGAAAGTCTCTTTTTTTTAGCGACTTTTACTGTAATTTAATTTAAATTTATACATTCTTATTCTTACTTTCATTACATTTTATATACTTAGTAAAGAAACGTGTCTTGAAAATTTCTATTATATTACTCGTTATATTCTTTATGTTCTTGCTCGTTCTTTATATTATTGCTTTCTTTACTTTATTTCTTTACTTTATTTTATATCTATGTATTTTTTAGTTATAAGTATTCTAGTTATAAGTATTTCTTTATACTGTGTACCATCCGTTTGTTAACTGTTTTTATTTTTTTGCTATTTATGCTACTGAATGTCTTGTTCACTTATCCTTAGAGGGTTTGCTCTAGAGAACAGTAATAAATTCTCTCTCTCTCTCTCTCTCTCTCTCTCTCTCTCTCTCTCTCTCTCTCGCTCGCTCTCTCTTCTTCCCGATGATATCGGATTTATTATAAATACGAAGTGTGCGGAGAGTGATGAAGATCCTCCGGGAAAGAGAGAGAGAGAGAGAGAGAGAGAGGGAGAGAGAGAGAGAAGCAGGAAGACGCTTCTGCCCGATGAAATGCGACGAGAGTGGTAATTAAAACGATGCGGTGAGCAGCTGCCGGCGCGGCGCATTGCACGAGGGAGTTAATTACCTCCGCCTTCAATTATATCCGTCTCTGCACCACTCCAAGGGGACTTGGCTTCTGCCAACGTAAGTACGTAAGCACTCACGCGTTTGCGGCGCGAGTTAACGCTCTCTACGCACACATCCGCGTACCGAAATTCGCGATCGCTCTTAAGTGAGTACTGTAACAATATATTGCGTTCGATACTATCGCGATATGAAGATTTCAACGGGAAATCTACACGGGAACAAGTTTCAAGTCGCGATGTATCGTATATACGTATATTGTTCGTTTTTTAATTATTATTATGTTAACATAAAGACACACACTTCATATATTATTAATTTCCTAATTCCTTTTTAATTCCTTTTAAATATATTTAATTGCGTATATTTACTTTACTTATTAACTTTTTAATTTCGAGTTTACATTTTTAATTCGTCTCCAATTCTCACTTACTTTTTTTCTACCTTTCCCATTTGCATTTCAAGAGGTTGAAAATTAACGAATATTATTTTTCAGAGATATTTTCTATCAGACTCGTGTTATTTGATTTTTATTCAGAAATAAATTTTTTTATTTAACTGCACTACTCTCTTGCGCAAAATGAAAACAAAATTAAAAGTCGAGCTTTTTGTTTGCGACATCATAGCAAACTATTTATTTTGCGCGTGTATATGCGAATGCGAGCACGATGAAATATCTACGGCGCGAAGAATTTACGATCTCCTAAAGACAGGGTCGCTCTTTTTATTTTCGTATCTTTTATTTGTCTTCTTTCGCGGGCTGCGTTCGTCGCTTCTGTCACTTACAGCTCGTATAAATCCCGACGGAGCTGTAAAAGAATTCTCACAAAACTAAACCGGCAGGTCCTGCTGCCGATAGTTTTGCAATTTATTCCTTTACACTCTTGTATTATGCCACGCACGGCGTCGCGGCAAGCGCCGTATTAAGAGCATAATAAAAGAACGAATTTTTCAATTTTTATCTGTCATTAAGAGTAATGAGAATTAATGTGCTTACAAAAATTTGTTCGAGACTCGCTTAATTGAAAAATGAATGATAATATAATTTTTTTGGAGCAATATTTATAACATAACGCACTGAAACTAAGGAACGTTTCGTTCTTAATTTAGATATTCTATATAATTATTTTAATGGTCTAACAAAATTATTTTCAGATCTGCTTCTATCTAAATTTTTAGACACTTCAGCAAAATCATTCTTTCCGTTTAAATATGACCAATTATTATAGAACGTTCTTTAATTGTAAAAATAATGGCCTCTCAGGAGAATATTTATTTTGTAATTGTTGGAAATTTTTTTCACGTTGATTGGATTATACTTTTAGATCTAAAGGAATAATTCTATCTCTTAATAAAGAAAATTTGTAAAAAATAAACATTCTGTTGAATGCTGCTTATTCTTCTTGTAAATCTTGAAATTAAATTATTTTTAATTCTTTTTAATATTTAATGACACGTTTAAAGTAAAGCAAATTAATTACTCCTATGAACTTAACACGCTATTTTTAATATTTCGATGTAATCGATAAAATTCTGACCTTCTTTTACAAAGGATCTTTAAAGTATCCTAATACAACCTATCAGTCGATAAATCTGGAATGAAGGTGAAAAATTATCTTCCGGTAGATAATTTTTCATGATTATTCGTCACATCTTGATTATATTGTACCGGATCAAAAGGCAGGACGAGACACGAGAGAAATAAACCGAATGACGGCGGTACCAGCGACAGAATGCCGGATCGGTCATAGGAGATATTCGTTCCCCGGGGTTTGTTAGACCCGATGTCAGGGTACCACAGCGTTGAAACGAGCTGACATCTCGGACCCACCACCGGAGCGAAGCGTCATCCCCCTCGGCGCCCACGACGGCCACCATCACCACCACAACCGCACGATCTCGTCGTGTCTCTCCGCCGCTGACGCGAAAGAGACGTCACCGGCACTCACCCCTCGTCTTGTCGCCAACATCCACCGATGTCCGAAACATCCTGCCTTCACGTACCTCCAAAGATTCAAATGCCTTCCGTCAACAATCTCCGTGATATAGAAAGGGTTAGAATAGATAATTGGTGATGACGAGGATCAAAAACACTTTATTGAGCTTCATTTAATTATAAACGTCCGACCATTTTAAAAAAAGTATTGAAGGCTAATTCCTTTACAAGCAATAAAAAGTACGAAATTTTACATAATATAGTCTTCTAAAACCAAAATTAAAGTATTCAAATTGACAAAAAGTATGATTAAAGTTCTTTCACAATAAATAATTAAATTTTAATAAGACGTAAAGAATACCTTTTATGTAAAGTCGCAAATGTAATATATTTTCTTGATTTTATGTTATTATTTTTTATTTTTATGATATTCAGAAACTTGGTTTTAAATTGTACTTCTATCATGTGCTTATCGGAGCACGGAAATATCCATGCAATCTTCCAGATTAGGCAAACTGATTCGTCGATGATTCGAAGCTGCGCCTGTGAAGTTGGGATGTCAAAACCGATCCACAATGAAAAAAGTCGTTGTCGCGCACAAAGAAGCACTTGGCGACAAAGCCAGAAACCCAACGAGCGACGGCTGCCTGTCAAGGGACAATCGGCGCCTCGCGTGACATCGAGTGTCCGGGCTGTTTGACCGTTTTTTGATTGACGTCAAACCGCAAATATCGTGCTGGCTGCTTCTCAATCGTTGCGATATATTTACGACGTGTGTCACCCTCGTTATTATTCGTAGAGATCGTTGTGCCGTGGAAATCGACACCACAATAAGCCCGCTTTTGTGGCGAGCCAAGCAGGCGCTTTGCAAAACCACAAGGCACTTCCATATCGCGACACTTCCTCCTTGGACCAATCTCGAAAGTGGAAGGTTCTTCTAGACGCATAAGCTGTTCCACTTCTGCATTAAATTTTAATGACACGTTGTTTGCTTTAGAGCCAATTTTTATGAAATGGACTTCAGAGATGCTCTAACAAAGGTGGACTCTTAATTTAAATTCAAACGGACTATGGTTCATCAAGACGTAAAAAATTAAAACAAACGCACTCCTCTAGAAGCTATTTGTTAGCCAAAATTAATTCAGTGTTGCTTTAAACGCTGGCTAACTCCTTTCATCCGAAAAGGATCAGATGGATAATGAAAGGGCACGTAGGGCGAAGACTCGTGACGTTTTATTGGCTCATCGTCGACAATGGGATTCCCGACACATTTTTGCACGGATACAGAGTCGATATGATACGCGAATAGTATAAAAGGAACGTAGATATTATCCTTCATCCGCGCCCCGCCCGCATAAAGGCGGACACGCGGCGAGGGCTGAAATCGTGACGCAAGAGGAAGAAGCCGACATCAGATCGATGAAATTAGCATGAAGCGTGAAGAGCTCGAGGGTGGCCGATCTCTTAAAAAGGGTGCTGGATAGAGACGTCATAATATTGCTCTCACGTGACACCTTCACGATGAAAATCTCTTTCGCAAAAGTCAGCGAATTATTCTCAGGAAACTGCGGTATAAAAATTACAAAATAAATCATAACCATTATAGCAATAAATATCCCTTTTGTGATATTCGAGAAGACTTTTTCCGAAGATAAAACGAATTAATTTAGAATTTACAAGGAATATAATCTATATTTATATATAAGCATAATATATATTCCTTTATAAGTATTTAAAAGCATTTAATTTTATAAATAATATAATCTTTTTGGAAAAATAAATTCCCCCCAAAAATAAATTCTTCTTCTCTCTCCATTTAATCTCCGATTTCATTTTTTTTTTCGTCTGGAAAAATTTCCGAATTCGCCCTTTTGATGCGCATCCAAGCGTATGTTTTTCATTAAAATTTATTTGTTCGAAGCGTATACTATTCTTATATCTCAGTTGTGATAAATAAAATTTGATTTCTCTCGTCGAACACGGACAAGCAGCACTTTTAATCGCCACGTGATATCACAGTGACGTTAAGATGCGAAACGTATATAACGCGTGTGTTATCTCTTAACGTATAGGGACTTTGAGAGCGAGACTGCAATTTTTACGAGTGCTTATTCGCGGTAGTCGTGTATTTCCTGCCCGGGCTCGTTCATATGTATGTATGAGTCGAGGGTGTTAACCGTGAAGAGAGCGGAAGAACACGAAGGGTGCCACGACTTTCTCTTTTCCTCCTTCCATTCAGACTACTTCCGTT